GGGTGCGGGGAGGCAGGTTCCAGCGGAGGGGCAGAGCATCCGGCTCCGTCCCCTTGTCCTGCCCGGCTGGGGGCTCCTGCTGCCTGGGGGTGACAGCAGGGTGGCCCGGGGGACACCCCCACACAGAGAGCCTGAGCTCAGCTGGGCACCTCTCGCTTTGGCTGGGGGGTGGGAGCAGCTCAGCACCCAGCTCTGCGCCCGCTCGGGCAAACACCAGCCCACGGGGAGAGGGGGACGAGCCCCAAGGAGGTTTTGGGCAGCCCCACGATCCTTCCTTGTTTCCAGGAGCCTCCCAACATCCCCAGTCCCATGTTTTCCCCACGTAGCTCCGGGCCATCCTCCCTCCCCAGCCAGGAATCCTCCCGGTCGCCTTGTTTATCCCGATTAGTCACACGTCCCCTCCCGCCGGCTCTTGCCCTCTCTGGGCCATCCCAATTTAGCTCCTGTTGTCACTCCAAATCTCCCAGCTGCCTCCCGCCGCCCAGCCAGCCCCACGACACCAGCGCTGGGGAGCACAAAGTGGCCTCACAGCCTCCCTTCTCCTCCGAGTGACCTGGGGACACTGTCCGGTGTCCCCAGGATCTGTCTGTGCTGCAGCCAGAGCTTTGCTGGGTGCCCATCTGAACCCGGGAACAGCACGAGGACCTGGTCCCAGCGCTACTGCTCCTCTATGGGGCTTCCAGCCAGTCCAGAGGAGTACCCCAGGGTGAGTGGCATCATCTGGGGTGCTGGACAGTCCCCCACCACCCCGTTGCTCACAGGGGAGCACCCTGGGTCCTGCCGAGATGGCCAAGGAGGTGACCACAGTGGGATCCCGCAGTGCAGGAGCACCATGCAGGGCTTGGAGCGAGGGCTGTGCCGGCAGGGAAGGGCACAGCCCTGATGGAGGAGAACTCCGGCGAGCCAAAATGGCAACCTCCATGGTGAGATGGCTGTGTTTCTGGCTTGGGCTACTGGTGCCTGAACAGGGCTGGGGGATCCAAAGTGCCTGGCAAAGGGCAGCCAAAGCCTGGCCCAGCAGGGAAGGGAGAGCCACCAGAAATACTGGCCCACAAGTTTTTTTTTTGCTTCAGCCAGTGCCCTGAGGAGCCGGTCCTCGGCAGCTGGGAGAGGAGGCACATGCCCTTCCCTGTGGAGCAGCTGAAACAACCCAAAATATCCCACCGTGCGCAGTCGGATCCAAAAGGAACATGACAAACAGGGCTGCGATGAGAAGGAATTACTGTCCGAACCTTTATTGGAACCCTTTTTCTAACCAGGCTAACAACTCAAATACCCCAGGAAGACTAAAGAATACAGTATGCATTTCGATGGAGAGCAAAGGGAGTTTTACAATGAAGTCAAACAAACAGATGCGACGGTCTCATTTTGTAAGGAAGCGACCAACTTGTGAGAAAAAAGAGATACTGTTTCCCTCGCGGCTTTTCTCACATCTTGGCTTTTGTTCTAAATCTTGTAATTCCCTGGGTTTCGAAGGTGGAGAGCTGCCCCGGGGCCGGTGAGGTTCAGGGTGTTGTTCTCTAGGCAATAGCCCAAAAGTCGGGATGCTTGACCATGAAATTGTTGCTACAACAGCAGACGTACCAGTGCTTCGGAGACCCTCCCGGTCATGTGCAAACTTCCAAGTAGCAGCAAAAGTCATAAGAATTGTTTATTCTCTGGTAAAGAGGTAATAAAACCCCACTGGACACTAAAGGACAAAGTCTTCGCTTAGGCACCTGAACCTGTCCTTTTCTCAAACAAATATCCTGACAGCCCCACGGCCAAGTGCCCTGCAGCTCCCAGAGAGCTCCGTGGGAACAGCCTGGGCACTCGCCTGCCGACACCGGAGCCACGTCCACCCCCCACCAGGCTGGGCAGCTCTGCCCATGGAGCACAAACATCTCCCACTTGGGCGGAAGAGGCCAATGGCTGTGGCGGTGGAGTGACACTAGGGCTGGTCGTGATCTTCAGCTTTTTTTCAAAGCTGGGGGCGGATGCCTGCAGCAAGCTCCGTCTCGTGTCAGAGATGACAGGAGAGACCTCCCCAGTCCTACCCCGGCCACCTTTCCCGAGCTCACGTCCAGGCAAAGCTACTGGTTCTGGCACAAAGCTCGGGGAAGGGGGCAAAGTAGAACGTGACACAAGGATGAGGGTCTCGGGATGGGGCAGAGTGGACATACTTGCTTCTTGGTAGAGACCATGGCAAGTCACTTCAACCCTATCCCCTTCCTCAC